ATGTTCGGCTGTGAGCTGCCAAGTCTGACCCTCAGGGTGCTGTGCTTGGGGGGCCGCTAGCCTGATCCAGCTGCAGAATGGTTCTTAGCAATGGGTCTCTCTCGTCCTTGAAGGATTCGGGGCCAGAGTGAGGAAGGGCATCTTGGCTCTGCTTGGCCATTCTGCTTCCTGATGGTCCATACGCAATGGAAGGTATTGATATATGGACCAAGCAAAGACCCCATCCAAACAGAGGTAGCTGATGCTTAAGATGAGAGCTAATGAACTCAAACTTCTACTGCTTAATTGGTGGGATCTGAATTGGTGGGGCTGGGGTAGGAGGGTGCTGCCCCTTCTAGCTGCCTGCAAAGAGCCCCCCTTCTTCTGAACTTCCTCTCCACACACATCCCTTGTGAGCGCTCTGACCTTCAGTCCAGAGTGCAGAGGAGAGGCTGGATCGGGCCCTTCTGATTTCAAAACCTTTTTTGTTCCAATGAGTTGCTGTGAAAGAAAAAGAACGTGCTTGCTTAATACGCTCATGCCTGGTCCAGCTTTCCTTCAAGGCAGACCTTGAAGAAGACCCCGACCCACGGATCTTCTCCAGCATCCCAGGCTTCAAATCAGAGGCAGCGGGGGCGGGGGGGGGGGAATCAAGAGCTCCACTGTAGCTGGCACTGGACATGGAGGTACGCTGCAGCGGTGGGTGGAGGCTTCCTTTCACCCCGGTGGCCAGCAGCGAGGGAACCTCTAATCCTTCCAGCAGCACGACAGGTTTGAGTAGTCATGGTAAGTCATCTTCCTGCATCTCTGAAAGGGACCCGTGTTTGAATGTCTCCCGGGCAAAGACATGGATTGGATTAATAACACGATCCTCAAAAAGCAAGCGATGGAAGCATTTTAGCTCATGTAAACCCTGCAGCTGGGTGGGGACTAAAAGACCATCTGCAACCCCTGAGCCCAAGCAAAGAAAAGGGTTTGCAAGGCCAGGAGCCTCCGAGAGTGCTGACTGCGGAGCTTTGCACGGTGGTCTTCTCTGCCCCCCCTGCCCATCAACGTTTAGAAGTGCTCAGCTGCTTTTCCAACCAGGCACCCCCTTCTCTGGAGAGGGGCTGCGGGTTCTCCGAGGACAGCCCGGGAGGAGCGGTCACCGGGACTCCTCCAGCAGAGGTTCTCCGGCTGGCCGGGAGGCAAAATCCCGGGGGCAGGGAGGGGCGGCAGGGCGCTGCTGCATGGCGTTCGTGCCACTGGCAGGCATACAAGCCCTTAGCACATCAAAAGCAGCAGGGCTGGTAGGAAGCGTGGGGGCGAGCGGCCGGGCTGGTCTTCCTGATCTCAGATCTTTTTTCAGTTCTTGTTTGGCAAAGGGACAGATTGCAATGGTGCTTTTGAAGTGGGTGGTGTTTGGACGATGTTTCCTTCCCCCATTTATCCGTGCTGCAGGGCAGCTGCTCAGATCCAGAGTTGGTGGGCAGCAGCGTCCTTAGGAGGCACCCGGGCGCTCGCCCGAGCCCGGGCTGAAGGTGCTCCGGCCAGGCGAGGGGGGGGCTCCTGGCCGGGGCCCCCAAAGAGCCGCTGGCATCCTCAGAGCACGAAGCGGCCCAGCCCTGTGGGAGGCGGGAGCCGGCCAGCAGTTTGGGCCGAGCGCCGGGAGGGGAGAAGGCGGCCGGGAGGAACGATGGGCGTGGAAAGGACAACCGCAGCTCAGGATCGGCCCGAGCAGGGCGCGCTTCTCGGGCAAAGCGTCTTCCCTGGCGAGCGGTGGGTCCTCC